CAGTTCTACTTTCTGAAATTAATGCATTTAAAATAAATTCCACAGCACATGGATGATTGTCACTTACTCAGACACTGCTCATTATTCCGTGTAATTTTGAATGCAATTTTTACTACCCATGAAGGTTACCAGTGCAAGAATTATAGACAGCATCACATTTGTGATGGGAATAACAGATTAAATTCAAATTTTAGGTTGTAAAGACAAAGTCTAAAACATTCACTAGGTACCAGGTCAACTTTAGAAAATGTAAATTTTTTTATCAGGAGTTATGAAAAAATATAAAGGAATGTCTTAAAAAGTTAGTCCAAAGGAAGTCTGAAAAGTACTCTGAAACTCACTGTTAGCATCTCAGAATAAATCTTGACCACGTTTTCCAACAAAATCCTTCAGAGTTAAGTAGCAAAGAAATTAGGCAAATTATTTTGTTTTGGGAAAATACGGAACATAGAAAGGTTGCTCATATTGTAGAAGAGGCAAAAGAGTATATAAGATCGCAGATGCTATCATATCCCCACCAGAGGCATCGCATTCTTCTTTTATAATGAAATAGAACTTCGTTTGCTAACTGAATACTTCAATGATCATTTTGCAACTAACCCACTCAAAAAGGCAAGTACATTCTTTATTTTCATGCTTTAAATATGTCAACAGAAAGAAAAAGGGTACTTCTATTGCAAAACAAAAAATTTAGAAACCCTTTACCTCTTCCCATTTCTTAGCATCAGAAGTTTAGATTTATTTTAGATTCTAAAAATGAGAGAACTGTAGCTGTGCTGATCCAAGCCTACCGTACCATGCCCCAATTAAGCAAATCCCTTTTATTTTCTTAAAGCTTGCTTTTCAAAACCAAAAGGTCTTTTCTCTCTCTTTTAATGGTCCCAGACTCAGAGCACTGCTAGTCTATCTCCACTACTTTGAACATAACTCATGTGACCTATGTTTCAGTGCAGAAATGGTTTTCTTTCCTCTTAACCTTGCTCTTTATGACCTGGGAGCTCGTTACCCTACACCTGGCCTGCTGCATCAGAATCTGCATTTTTAAAAGATCCCCTGGTCAATTAGGCACCATAAAGTTCTAGAAGCAGTGCTTTCGAAAGGCTGGAGATGCTTGCGCCCACATTAATCTTCATAAAGAATTCTTTTTCTTTTACTCAGGGAAAACTTCTACCTTCGAAATTAAATTATCTTAAAAATATCAGTCTCTTCTTACACATCACAGACTCCAGTTGCATCAGACTTGGGGTGGGGGGTAGCCCTCTAAGTCAGGGTTTCTCAAAGGGTAGCGCCCCTGCCAGCAGCATTAGCAATGCCTGGGTATTTGTTGAATCAGAAACTCTGATTTTATGTTTTATCAAACAATCTGAATTCTTAAAAACCCTCCAGGTGACTTTGCACACTAAAATTTGAGGCTGGTTCTCAAACTTAATTGTTCATAAGTCACCTGGGAAGTCTGCTAAACATTGGATTGCTAGATCCCTGGCCAGACCTATTGCATTTTGGGACAGTAAAGTCAGGATATGTGTCTCCTAAATTTGGCCCTACATAATCCTGACACAGGTGATGGGGGAACTCCATTGAGAACCAAGGATTAGAGTAGTGGTTCTTAGACTATGCTACACATGGAAAACTTTAAGGATACTGATGCCTAGTCCATATTCTATACCAATTAAGTCAGAAATTCTAGAGGTCAGACCCAGGCATCAGTATTAAATGCCACAAATGATTTTAATGTGCAGCCAAGTTTTAGAAAGCATTGGGAAAGAATAATAGCAGGTTGCAGTGTACCATGTTGGAAAGCACAGGGTTTGGGAATGAGCTCTGTGACCAAAGGCAAATTATTATGTCTCTCTACATATCGGTTTTTCAGGTGATTAGTGAGGAAACTACTTCAAGATTCAAAAGTCAATGCAAAGCACCTGACAGTTTCTGTTCCCTTCATTAAGTGTATTCATTATGTGATTTTACCTTGGTTCATATGCCAGAGAAGTTCCTTCCACACTTTAGGGGAAAAAAAGAACACCTTTTATAATAAATAATGTTTAACTGCAGTACTGTCTATATATTTAATTTGCTGGAGGATAAAAATGACTTGAGGCTGTCTGACTTGGTTAGCAGTTATGCTATGAAAAGTCGTCCTCACTTTTCTCTCCAGTTTTATCTACCTGCTTAGCACATGTTGTCAAAAAGTAAAAACATACACATAGATTTTCACCTATGTCTGTCCTTGATCACATTTTTCGTACCAATTTCCACTGGTTTTCCTGGAAAAACCAGGAAATACCTGCCATCTGCTGGTTAAAGGTGGTAACAGCAGGTTGCATAGTGACTGTATACTTGAGAAACCGGTTTTCCAAAGTTCAGTCTCATGCAGAAACCAGTCACTTCATACCTGCCCGTGACAAGCTTCCAATGAGCTTTACCTTGGTATTCTCTCTAGAAAAAAGTAGACCTTATTTTCTAAACTAATAATTCAAAAATTTTGTTACTAATAACTTTTTAAAAAGTATCTGACATCTTTTCTGAGCAACTAAATTTATATAAAAGTTTTCTTTACCAATATATCCCAAAATGATCATTTTTGTGGACTCAGTTTGAGATATAAAATGGTCAAGGAAGTCATGATGTCTATGAATCCAGTATTTTTAGCATTCCCTTCATCATTAATCTTTAATTATCATGTAAAGGAGATTTCTTTGAAGTCTATCTGAGAAATACTAGTTTGCACTAAATTACATCTGTTCAGTTAGATAATTTCATCTTTCAGAAAATGGCTTAGAAGACAATTAGCTAGTAGCGGTTTTAACTTTTATTGCAACAGTGTAAAGTTAATCCCATGTACCACACACAGAAAACCTGGTGTGAGGTTATAGATATGCTAATTAGCTCAATTGTGGCAATCATTTTCATTGTATCAAAATGTTACAACCCTTTAAAATATACAATTTTTGTTAAGCATGCTTCAACGAAACTGGAGAGTGGAGAGCTAATCCCATGTAAGTAAAACTTCCCTTTCCCCACTCACTGCTAACAGCTGCACACTTACATTATTCTCTTTTCTCCTTAGAATGGGCAGTCGAATCCATGTCTACCCAAATGGATCCCTGTTTATTGGATCTGTAACAGAAAAAGATGGTGGTGACTACTTGTGTGTGGCAAGAAACAAAATGGGAGATGATCTGATACTGATGCATGTCAGCCTAAGACTGAAACCTGCCAAAATTGACCACAAGCAGTATTTTAAAAAGCAAGTGCTCCATGGGAAAGATTTCCAAGTTGATTGCAAAGCTTCTGGCTCACCGGTGCCTGAGATCTCCTGGAGCTTGCCTGATGGAACGATGATCAACAATGCAATGCAAGCTGATGACAGCGGCCACAGGACCAGGAGGTACGTCCTTTTTGACAATGGAACCTTATACTTCAACAAAGTTGGGATAGCAGAGGAAGGAGATTATACTTGCTATGCCCAGAACACCCTAGGAAAAGATGAAATGAAGGTCCACCTAACAGTTATAACAGCTGCCCCACGGATAAGGCAGGGTTATAAGGCCAACACAAGAATCAAAGCTGGAGACACAGCTGTCCTTGACTGTGAGGTCATTGGGGATCCCAAACCGAAAATATTTTGGTTGCTGCCTTCCAACGATATGATTTCCTTCTCCAATGGTAGGTATACATTTCATGCCAACGGGTCTTTGTCTATCAACAAAGTGAAACTGCTTGATTCTGGAGAGTATGTGTGCGTAGCCCGAAATCCCAGCGGGGATGACACCAAAATGTATAAACTGGATGTTGTCTCTAAGCCTCCATTAATCAATGGTCTGTACACAAACAAAACTGTTATTAAAGCTACTGCTGTGAGGCATTCCAAAAAACACTTTGACTGCAGAGTTGAAGGGACACCCTCTCCCGAAGTCATGTGGATCATGCCAGACAATATTTTCCTCACAGCCCCATACTATGGAAGCAGAATCACGGTCTATACAAATGGAACCTTGGAAATCAGGAATGTGAGGCTTTCAGATTCAGCTGATTTTATCTGCATGGCTCGAAATGAAGGAGGAGAGAGCATGTTGGTGGTACAGTTACAAGTACTGGAAATGCTGAGAAGACCAACATTCCGAAATCCTTTTAATGAAAAAATAGTTGCCCAGCTTGGAAAGTCCACTGCATTGAATTGCTCTGTTGATGGTAACCCGCCACCTGAAATAATCTGGATTTTACCAAATGGCACACGATTTACCAATGGACCACAAAATTCTCAGTATCTGATAGCAAGCAATGGTTCTTTTATCATTTATAAAACAACTCGGGATGATGCAGGAAAATATCGCTGTGCAGCCAGAAATAAAGTTGGCTATATTGAGAAATTAATCATTTTAGAAATTGGCCAGAAGCCAGTTATTCTTACATATGCACTAGGGACAGTAAAAAGTATCAGTGGAGAATCTCTATCACTGCATTGTGTGTCTGATGGAATACCTAAGCCCAATATCAAATGGACCATGCCAAGTGGTTATGTTTTAGACAGGCCTCAAATTAATGGGAAATACATATTGCATGACAATGGCACTTTAGTAATCAAAGAAGCAACAGCTTATGACAGAGGAAACTATATTTGTAAGGCTCACAATAGTGTTGGCCACACACTGATCACAGTTCCAGTAATGATTGTAGCCTATCCTCCCAGAATTACAAATCGCCTACCCAGGAGCATCCTCACAAGGACAGGAGCAGCCTTGCAGCTCCACTGCCTGGCCCTGGGAGTTCCAAAGCCAGAAATCACATGGGAGATACCAGACCACTCCCTGCTATCAATGGCAAGCAAAGACAGGGAACATGGAAGTGAGCTGCTTCACCTACAAGGCACCCTATTCATTCAGAACCCCCAAACCTCTGATTCTGGGATATACAAATGCACAGCAAAGAATCCACTTGGTAGTGATCATGCAACAACTTATATTCAAGTAATCTGACAGATTAAAATTTAAATTAAAAATCTGGACAGAGTTTATTTTTTGGAAGAAGTTTAATCAAAGGCAGCCATAGGCATGTAAATGAATTTGAATACATTTACAATATTAAATTTACAATGGACATGCAAAAAAAGACAAATGCATTATGAACTGATACTGATTTCTTTAATGGATCTCAAAACAAATTTTTAACTTAAGGCACTTTTATTTTGCCAACGAATGAACATTAAGAGAAAACGGTCCACCATAAAATAACAAATGGCTAACGTACCTGAATTTTTTAGTAAAAAATGGACTTTTTAATTTTACTACCAGTTGCCTAGTGTCCACTTTCTATCAATGTTACAAGCATGGCACTCAGAACAGAGACAATGGAAAAGATTAAATTTGTAGTCTTTATGTAAATTTATCATCTTGATGTATAAATATTTTGTGGTTTATAAATTTTTTGCTAAAACCTACAGAAAATAAGCACTAAACTGTTTTATGATTCATTTGTTCACACTGAAAATTGTCATTGATGGAGAATACAAAAATGTTTTAATAACTGCATTTAAAAATAAATGCAGGCTTTTTCACATGTCAAAGCAACGTAATTACCTGCAACATCATAAAATGTGAAAAGGGGGTAATTTTTGTCCAAATACATCCACTAAAAAGGTTTTAAAAATACAATGAAACTTCTTTATAACATTAAAATCTAGCTCAGGCACCCCTGGTTTAGAGCTGTTCCTAAGGAAAATTTTATGAGGGAACATTGCTTTATGAGCATTTTATCATTAAGTGATCATTTTTTATGTGATGGGAGAATGGGAGGGTCTAGATCTATTTTATATAATGAAGTTTCACTGTATTTAAAATCTGATCAACTCAACACAAAATGTTGCTTTTTGTAATTCACTGAATTTATTTATATTACATGCTTAATTCAACCTGAATTAATTTGGTGGACATAATATGATTCATCTTTTCTAATTCTAGAAACTGGGACATTCCAGTGTAATTTCTCTAGCATCTATGCAAATATTCACTATTTAATAATTGTAGGAGCCTTATAAATGAAAAAAATGCCATAGGTTTTGTTTAGCTATCTCACGACACAAAACCGAGAGCTATGTTAGCCCCTGCCAATCACGTGAGACATGTGGAAGAGCTCCCTTCATTGTGCATTGTGTTTTCATTGTACCAACTTTCAGCTGGTCCCACCTAACGGGTGACCTGATTGCTACTAATCTCTGATGTTGGACCTTGTGGCTGCAAAAGGTCAAAGGTGCTCACTGTAAAGTGATCTCCTTTACTTCTTGGCCAATAAGGGTAAATAAAATGCCAAATGTAACCTATTAGGAACAAGCCTGCAGTGTAAACAAGTAGGTCTATGGGCTTCTTGGATCCAAGATTTGTGATTAAGTACAGCCAACTCCATTAGATGTCAAAGTCTTATCTTTAAGGGGAGCTGGGTGAGGTCTCCATCTTATTCTAAGGTTAATTTTTTCTCTATCTCGCCAAGCAAATTGCCAGGTTCTGCCACTTGGCCTTCTCATGTGATCATTTTAATGCAAACTGATGCATTTGCTAGAAAAGAAAAAAGTAGAAACCTCTTAAGATAGAGGATTAAGTGGGAGAAAATATACTGACTAAATTAATTCCAGTTGCTTTCTTTATAATGCACAGGGGAAAAACAGCTTTAAGTTTTCCCTCAGCTTTCCATAGAATCTTGGAATTATAGGGCCTTACCATGACCTTAGCTTCCTCACCTAAAAAAAAAAAAAAAGAGAGACAACAATAATACCCTACAACTTTCATGTGCAAAATGATTAATAAATTAACTTCTGCAAAATATAAAGTGCATACAAATGTTATGCAATTATAACATTCTTGAAACAGTATTACTGCTGTTTGCAATGTTGAGCTACAAAAATATATGGTTCAACTGAAAACTGCCATTTTAAATACCAATAATTCTTGAAATATAACAAGGACGGAACATGACTCACTCACTAGGCACAACATTCACATTTCGGTTGTTTTGCCAATGCAGCCATTACATGGATATTACTTTGAAGAAAAACAACTTCATGAACTCCAAGAGTATGATTCTTGACAGGAAAAAAACTTGATATACAAAACCATCTGAAATGTACAGATACATCTTCTGAAAGCAGATAGACTATGTTAATTTAGTGAAAAGAATGGTCTTTAATGTTTTGGCAAAGTCTTTTCCAGCCCAGAGTAAACACAAAATGAGCAGGCTGGAGTGAAATATTTTCACAGTGTACAAAGCAGTTCACATGGATGTTGCCACAGCAAAGTAAGCTGACATGTATTTGAGGTCATTTGCATGAGTCAAACTTTGCAATGAGTAACTCACCTAGGAAGATAAATTATTTATATAATGATTTGCAAAAGAAATTGTCTACTAAGATTGTTCTAGCTACATTTTAAAAAAGTAGTTCTACATGGTTTTGCTCATTATAGACAAATCTATTCACAGTATGCTTGACTACATTACATGTAAAATCATATGGCAAAAGAAAATGAATTAACACAGAACATGGGAAAATATCCCCCACATGTTTTTAAATGCCCTGCAATTTTCACATTCAAAATTTTATGCATCTAAATCTAAAAAAATATTATATGGAATACTCTTAAGTTACACAAACTGATAATAATTTACTGTATTTTTTTTTACTCTAATAGGAGCAAATTACCACATACTTGAACAAAGTTAAAATAGTTACTATTTCTTTATAATAAATTTGATGTATAATTTACTTGTGCTTTTTGCACCAATTTATAAATACAGTATATGCAATACACAACCAAGACTGACACCAACATTAATAATTAAATTCAAAATAGCAAATACTTACCATACAAAATAAACAGCAAATACACCTTTTATGATAACCAGAGCTTTCTAGACTTTGGGGCCAGATTCTTTAGAAACCATGTCAAGTTTGAGCTCTGTGGAATCTCAAGCCAGCTGCTGATTTTTTTTTTTTTTCATCAAGTTGGCATAAGGTTCAGAAGAACCAAAACTGGCAATAACTAATTGGAATGATTCCACTATGGTTCTTTCAGGCCTTTAGAGTTTACATGTTATACCTTCACAGAGACTCTGGCCAATGATCTTGCCACTGAAAACAAATTTGAGTATAGCTACTTCTAATAGGCTTCCGCACATCTTAGGGAGGCTCTCAGAGAAAACCTTGGTTTAAGTTATTGGTTTAAGAAGTCTAAGTATTAAGCAACAATCTGTTTCAGCACCTTTTGACCACAGCAAAAGCAAAGTCCTACATAAATAAGAACAAAGTTTATAAAGTGCTTATGAAATTTTAAACATTTCAAATTAGAGTGATGCAAATAAATGTCCATTTCACCATCATAGGTGAATGTAAAATAAATGGGTCACTTTCCTGTCAAGATCTGACAAGCCTTTCAAATCAGTAGTTTGGTCCAACACAGTTTGGGGGAAAAAAAAGAAAAACTTTACCATTAATTAATAAAATAGATAAACATTTTAAATCCACCATAATTCATTCTTTCTGTAAATATGAGATTCAAAAAAGCACCAATTTCAAAAGGTCTGCTACCAAAGTCTTCCTGAAGTTGGCCTGCATGATCCATATTTTTAAACCTACTTTAAAAGTTGAATGTGACAAAAATCAAACCATGACTTTTCCTTGGCTTTTTGTTTAAACACCTTTGTGTGAGATGTAGCATAAAATATGGTAAAATGTCAAAGAAATGAAAGAACAAAGGGACATTTTTAAGGATGACTAATGCATTAAATTCGATTTTCAATTTTTCAGTGCAAACACAAGACTTCATGTCTTCTCCTCTTGCAGATTCAGAAGTGTGAAGGATGCCCATAGGAAGTCACTCCTTGCTGTGGCTGGTTACCTAATGAGAAAAATAAATTTAAATAAAATTATGGACACAAAATTACGTCACAGATGGATGTAACATTCTTGTCACTACTCTCAGGACCAGCATCAGGCATAAGGGAACAGACTGCCTAGACAGAGTAACTATGCTTGTCCTGAAAGACCCTAACAGTGGGATCCAAATGCCACCAATCAGTTCATTCTGCAGGGGAGCCAACTCTGCTTCAGAGCCCCCCACCTGCCAACACAAGGCATCAGGATTAAGGTAACTGGCCCTCCAAAGTTACTCCCTCTGAACTAAATGCTTCAATATTAACAGTCAAGAGAACTACTATTGTAAAGGTTTCATACAACATTGGGAGTTCCCAAAACGTTTATAAGAGCAAGTAAGTAATTCTGCTTTAACACTGACATTATAATAGGTAAGAGAAACTTAGATTGGAATTGGACACCTTTTTGCAAATGCCATAAAATATGTATAACAGAACTGTGCAAGAGTGTGGCTATGTGCGTGTTGACTCAAGCATGTGCCTAGGCATACATGTGTGTCTGCACACATGCACACACACACACACACACACACACACACACGGAAAAAAATAAAGAATAGTAGACACCAAAAACTAACACAGGCTTAGAAACAGCTACTGCTTGTATAACTCTAGGTTATTCAAATCCAGAGATCCTATTTCACATGGACTGTGATATAAAAAGGACCCTCTGGAGTCATGTGGTGGGCAGGTCAGCCTAGTTGCCACTTCTCAACAAAGGACATTGGCATCATCACTGCTTATATCAGGCAGCAGAATATATACTGTGCTTAAGAGGTAGGCTCTGGAAGGAGACCATCTGAGTTCCAAGTCCCAGCTCTGCCCCCTGCTGTTAGCTGAATAAACTTGGCCAAATTAGTCAACATTTCTGTTCTTCAGTTGTTTCCTCATCTATAATATGGGAACAGTAACAATACCTAATCTCACAAGTTGATTTAAAACTAAAGTGAATTAATACATGTGAGGGGTCCCAGTGCCTGCCTGAGTCCAAGAAAATGCTCCATAAATGACAGTTAAGGAAAAAAAAAAAAGCTGTGTTACTTGAACTCCAGGAGACAGGAAATAAGGGTAGATATCCTCCTGCAAACAAGCTATTATTTAAAAATCAGGTATCTATTTCTAAACACTAGATTAGAAATAGGTACCTATTCATTAAGATTATATTCTCTGCAAGAATATGAATGCTGGAATTAATGAAATGCAATGAAATTTTAACTATAAATTTGTTTAATAGGTTATGCCTATTAAACAGTAGCGAAAAAATAAGATTGATTTACTTGATTTAACTGAAATTAAATGAGGCCATAGGAGGGAAATATTTTTAAAGAACAAACAAAGACCTTGGGTATGCACTGGTAGGGACACCAAGATATGTATAGGAAGGGTGTTCCCTCTGCCAGAAAATCCACATGCATAGCAGCCAGGCAGAAAATTGAGACTGAAACCAAGCTGCCCCTCAGTCATTAAATGACCCATTTCCTTACAATATCAGTAGGCTACCAGACCTGCACCACTGCCTTCAGCACAAACTGGTCTTTACTCTGTACCTCAGAAGCACAAAATCTGAGACCTGGAGGAAACTACACGTCTCACTCTTCATTGCACAAATGGAAAAACTACATGATCCAGGTAATGGTGGCCAAGTTGGCACCAGAATTTAGGTCTCCTGAGCTCCAAGCCAATATTCTTTGTATCATAGGGGGCTTGCTCCCATTTCTAAGAAAATTTCCTGCCTTGTGACTCTAGCACAGGGGTGATTCAATTCATGGGAGCTCACTGCTGGCATGGAGATGAGGTATGAGGAAATGGGCCATTGGTACATGCTCTAGAGAGGCAGCACAAGAAAAAAAAAATCACACCAGCACCCCAGGCAAGGTTACTGGGGGAAAACACTGCCCTGCCATGATGTCTGTGGTGTCACAGGTTTTGCTTTCTCTGAATCATTATCAGGAAGCATAGGGTGGTACAGCAGTAAGAGCAGCCACTGCCTAGCACTGGCTTTCCTGCATCTGAACACCTTGGGAGGCCCCCTAACCTCATGTATCTGAATAGTTAGGGCACTGGCTGTGTTACTCCCTGGACCCTCCAGCTTTATTAAAAAAAACACCTGCAGTTCTACAGAGGTCCCTAAAATGAAAAAACAAAACAAAACAAAAAAAACAACAATTCCCAGGTTCTGATAGAAGCAACAGGAAAATATCTTCACTGAATTTAAGAATGGGGTTTTCCCAGGAAAAGAAACATTCATGCCCAAACCAAACCAAGACAGAATAAAAATACCCTGAAGTGAACTGAATACCATGAAAATTGTTCTGAGGAAGACAGTGCCATTTTGGGGGAGCCACCATTGGTGTTTTGCTTGCTTTTAATTTACTGGGAGCCGTCTGCTCCGTGGCAGACAGGGGTACTTACTAGAAAGCTGTTTCTGAAGCTGCCGCACCAAGGCGGCTGTCTGTTGCTGCTGCTGGGTCTGCTGCAAGCCTTGCCTGGGAAACTGTAATTGTGACAGGAGAAAGGATGGAAATCAGCCCATGGTGCCAATCACAGACAAGAACAGAGACTAAATCCTGGGGTCAGATAATTTGGAACACTTTTTTTTTTTTTTTTTTTTTTTTTTGTGAGACAGAATCTTGCTCTGTTGCCTGGGCTAGAGTGCCCTGGTGTCAGCCTAGCTCACAGCAACCTCAAACTCCTGGGCTCAAGAGATCCCCCTCCCTCAGCCTCTGAGTGGCTGGGACTATAGGCACATGCCACCAAGTCCAGCTAGTTTCTTCTATTTTTAGTTGCCCAGCTAATTTTTTATTTTTCCTATATTTTAGCAGAGACAGGGGTCTTGCTCTTGCTCAGGCTGGTATCGAACTTGTGACCTCAAGCAATCCTCCCACTTCAGCCTCCCAGAGTGCTAGGATTATAAGCGTGAGCCACCATGCCCGGCCTGGAACATACTTTTAAGTACTTCAAGATAAAAGGGCCTTGACCCCCAGTGTATGTAAACTAATTTTCATTTACACCCTGTTGGTACACATCTGAAGTGCCCCATCTATTCAGGAGCCCACTCTCCAGGTCATTAGTTAGCATTTATTTGAAGAGCCCCGATGAAGGAGTCTATACTCCAGATGTGGTCAAGCAGTTGAAAATCCTTGTCACCTCTTCACCAGCTGGCTAATAAATAACATGATATCATAAGCCATTTTCACTGACAAAAATGAAAGCTCTCTGAACAGAGAATTTGACCAAGCATAAGAGGCTGGGAGAAAAGAACCTGGTGGGGCAGAGCAGTGTCCTGGTTCTAGGGCTCATCTGGGACTATGCCCTCCCCACCTGATGGAGGAGGAAGATCAGCTAATCCCACCCTCAGCGCATTGCGGCCAGGGCTGGTGCAGGGTGAGGCCAGTGAGTCACCAGAGCACAACCTTCAAGAACATGCTCATTCCCAGGATCATGCAAATGTAGGTTTGCAGGAAGAATCAGGATGGAAGCACAACATAGGGGGGCATGTGCCCTGATTCTATCCATTAAGTTCACAGAAGAAATTTGATGGTTATTCCAAAGAAAGAGAGACAAAAAAAAGAGTATCTGGTAGAAGCAAAATTACTTTTGATTAGCATCATTGGTGGTGCTGATTTACTTTTTTTTTCTTAACCTTCAAAATTCAGACTGTCACTCTTTCTCCTTTTTCTTTCTTCCCTCTCTCTCCTCCCATTGCCAGGCTTGCTGCTGCTGTAAACAAGTAAGTATTCTGGCACCAGACATGTGCACATCAGAAATGCGCTGGCTGTTTCCCATTTGCCTCTGCAGAGCTCCTGCCCTCCTTGTGCATGCTCAGCAGGCTGCCTGTAGGCAGTGCATTACTGTTACCATGGTAGCCCCTTTGCCTTCTGGCTTCTAGGTGGGGAGGGAGTACTCCTAGGAGACTAGGGGGCAGGTGCAGAATGAGGCTGGAAGGGAGCAAAGTTTTGTTGTGGTTTTGCCAATCTCCTACTTGATGGGTCTCTGCTGGCTGAGCATGGCCCACTCTGTGGAGGCCACAGTTTTGCTCCTCTGTGGAAGGACCATTTGGCCCTCCCCACCCTTCACCCTCTGCCCCCACTGGGCCAAGGGGCAGCAAGTGCTGCCAGCCCCATGTGTCATCATCCCTAGCTGTTTCCCCTCACTCTGCCTATACTTTTGTAAAAAGTCTTTTTTAAAAAAAACTCCTCAATTACCCAATATGAGTACAACAGCTATCTCCTCCTCAGAGCTTGCCAATATGGCTAAGAGTAGCCCAGGACTAGAAGTAGGGTTGCTAGATTTAGAAAATAAAAATACAGAATTCCCAGCTAAATGCGAATTTCAGATAAACAATGAATAATTTTTCAATTCTAAGTATGTCCCAAATATTGCATATGACAAATACTGCATTAAGTATAAGTATGTCCTGTGCAATATTTGGTATATACTTAAAGTGTTATTTATGGTTTACCTGAAACTCAAATTTAAGAGTCCTGTATCTGGCAATTCTAATTAGAGGGTAATACCAAGTTGATTCTTTTAAAACTGAATATTTGGCATGACCACCTCGTTCAACTGTTTCTCTCCCATCAGACACTGAGTGACTAAAGGACAAAGACTCAGGCGTATCTACTGATATATCCCTAGTATCCGTCCGTGCCAGGCACACAACAGGTGCTCAGAAAAAAAATTGCTGGAATGATTAAAACTCTGAAGTGCCTTCAATTTCCACAAACTTCCTAATAATAAGAAAGATATGCAAAACTAATGAATTATTTCCCCAATCAATGTTATTTTTTTCCCCAATACAAATTAGAGAAACAGCAGCTTGCCATTTTGTTCCACTGCCCAAATGAAGAGAAAAAAACAAAACAAAAAACATTCCATTTATGTGGAAATGTTAGTAAAGTAAGTGCTTTCTTTTCTATTTAATTCTTATGCAGGAAATTTTTATACTTATTTGGGAAAACTGCCCTATTTATTTAACAAAACCTTATATGGTACTACATGCCAGGCACTGTTCTAAACAGTCTATGTATATTAGCACATTTAATCCTGATGCAGCAATAATTATCAATCTCTTAGCCAAAGTCTTTGGGACAGATGTGTTTTGGAATTCAGTACATATATGGTTTATTATAAGACATTCATAATATACAGACCAAGCAAAATGTAGGGCTGCACTCTATGATCAAACATATTAAATTTCTTTAGCATAGTGCACAAATAGTCATATCAGGTAGGATAAATGAAACGAGCCTCATATCTGCTCAGATCAGCTTTTGCCACTAAATGAGTTCATACCAAATTTTGCTGTTCAATGAATTATAAATAATTCTTCTATTTTCAGAGGCATTTGAGTTTGGAAACAAATGTTATGGATTGTGAACCTTTACTGCTATTATTCTCATTTTAGAAATGAAAAAACCGAGGCTCAGAGGGAGGGGTTCAATGATTTGCCCATAATCCAAGTATTGGGGCTGGGGTTCAGACTAAGTTTTCTAGATCCAGAGTCCATGATCTTAACCACCATCCAGTGCTATCCTTTTTTTAAAAATTGACAAATAATAATTGTATACATTTACAGGGTACAATGCAATGTTTTGATATATGTATAATATTGTGGAATGCCCAATCAGGCTAATTAACATATCCATTACTTTACATACTTGTCATTTCTTTGTGATGAGAACATCTTTTAGCCATTTTGAAATAAACATTATAGGCACCATGATGTGCAAATAGATCATGAGAACTTATTCCTCCAGTCTAACAGAAACTTTGTACCCTTTGACCAATGTTTCCTTTTTCCCCCGGCCACCCCAACCCCCTAAGACTATTCTTAATTGGCAATATTAGCTTCCAAATATTAACCTATTTGAAGTAATTACAGATTCTAAATGGTTGGCTACAAAGATGTCTAAGCTGAACTAGCATATTGGGATACATAGTGCATAAATATTTAACATTTATTCATTCAATACTTAGCTGCTTTCTCTATGTCCACCTAAAGCCTGCCTTGCATAGAGTATTCTGTAATATAAAACACTGCAGTGATCTCCTCAGATTCTATACTCTGCAGAGTCTAGGCAGTAACTAGGTAACTGATGCACATGTGTGCATGTATGTGTATGTGTTTGGGAGTGGGAGGTGGGTCTGTTGGGTGGCGTTAAGAGGTAGTCAGAGGGTTTCAAAGTGGGATCCAGAGACTCCTGGGAGAGGTCCCAAAGACTCTGTCAGGTAATCCGCAAGGACAAAACCATTTCAAATAGTACTAAGACGTTATTTGCTTTTTTTACACTCATTCTCTCTTGAATATACAGTACATTTTCCCAGAGCCTACATAACATGTGATATTGCAATAAATTGAATGTCTTCTATTAAGCCAAACATTACATTTTTAAAAATGTAAAACAATGCCATTCTTCTCATTAACATTTTTACTTTGAAAAAATATATCTATTTTTCATAAGAGCAGATTATTTCTGTTAATGAGTTTAAAATAAATAACTAAATATTGATGGCTATTATAAAAACTCTTTGGGTCCACAATAATATTTGAATATGAAGGGAGTCTGAGGCCAGGAAATTTGAGACCAACTTCCTTAAACTGACCAGGACACAATGGGACAAGTCTATAGTCTACAGTCCCCTCAGTTGCAGTTTTTACCATATCTGTTTCTTCTCAAGGCCATCCTCATACTATTTTAACTTGCTTTCACTTGTTTGTATATGAACACAGGCAGGCCGAGAGACCCCACAAATGCAACTTCCCTGGGCTCTGGAGTACCAACCACCAGGGGGAAAGGGCTACACCAACTCCCCCACTGAACCTCACTACAGAACATTTCAATTCGAGTAATTGAACTCCTGCAAAGAAACAGACCCTGTATATGGCTGAGGAAGCATATCAACATTGGGTGAAATGTAAAGAATTACTCTCCTAGGACTGACTCTTCCCTAGACTGCCTGAATCAGAATTTCTGTGGTTAATGTGCAAGAAATCGGGATTTTTAAATGGTTCCTCCAGGTGGGTCATATGCTTGGCTAGAATCATCACTGTGGTGGGAGTCGCAACTTTTAATTTACCAAAACAGGTGGATAAATATGTTCATTGAGGTCTACTAGAGCACCTAAAAAAATCACAATCTGTGTATGTTTAATCTTCCTTAGTCAAATGTAATAAATGATATGGAAAAGAATTTTTCTGGCCTACATCCATACAGATGATCATGGTCTCTCTCACCTCTGTGCCTTCACAGATGTTAATCCCTCCTCCTAGAATATACTTCCTTCCCCTTTCACCCCACCCTATATCCTCCTACAAAGCTTTTCACCCCTCAAAGATCAGCTCAAGTTACCACCTGCCCCCTCAGGCATTTAATGAGTGCATCACTGCTCTTGTATCCTTAGTACTGTGGAGATGCCTCTATTGCCAAACATGTGGTATAATGTGACAACTGCTGCTCTCTCTGCATTTTCAGCTTCCTGGGGGCAGAAGGC